TTGGTTTGAACAGATGTTCTCTCAACCTTCATTTTGCACACTAAGATAATTTTATCATTTATGTTGGGTTGATATGTGAAGAAAAGATACGGCATGGTTAACAGTAGATGGGGGTATGATTTATTTTACCTATGCATTTGTATTATCTGTAGGCCTTAAACTTTAGCACCTGTGACCCATACATCTGTTTTGTTGTTTCTCTATCTGGATGAATTTAACAAGGTTCATTCGCTGGGTCACACATTTTTTGAATGACAAATTTCCCAGTAAATATTTAAGCTTTTTGTACAAGACTAATCATGTCTGGACTTGTTTAGCTGCTTCTCGAACATCTGGAGGCCATCTCTCCTGACCACAATGACTTGCTGCATGAGCTGCTGCAGGATCTGGGAGATGTCCCTGATGTAGAGACATTGCTCGGTACTCTCAAACAAACTTATATTTATATTAATCATAAGTTAATCACAAGTTAATCACAAGTTGTCTATATTGTATTTATAATTATACACTGCCTTATTTCAGGTGAAGGAGCAGTAGACCCAAATGACCCAAACAGAGAGAGTGCTCTCACCCAGCTGGCCAAGACGGAGATCTCCCTCACCCTAACCAGCAAGTTTGAGCTACTGGAAGGAGATGACAAAGACTTGAAGACTCTAATGACAAAGTAAGTTTAATGCTGGAGGATGCTGAGAGAAATTGCTTCATGCAAAGCCTGTTGTCAAGCTTGTCCAATATTGCAATTTAATGTTGCAATCATCCGTATTATTAGAGTAACAATATAGTTTGGGATTTCCACGAATTCCCTGCGATGCACTGTACTTAACCCTTTTTGACACAGTGTGTGTTTCTTTGTGGCTGTCACTCAGTAGCATGTCTTTGTTGCCTTTCCGGCTCTTCTATTATTTCCTGTCCTAAAAGGAAGGGGCTTGGTGGTAAGGGTTATCTTGCCTCTAAACATGTATCCGTCTGGTCTTCTTAAAGGAGACTGTATTTGAGAATTGGTCTCTTTGTTGTTTTAAGTTGTGAAATAAATGTGAGTTAATATCTGTTATGTGCCATCTAAATTTGGTTGTAATTGCATAATGTGTTCACATCATGCTAGCAAGACATGGGAAACCAGTTGTAGGAATACAGTGTAGAACATACAGACATATATATGGTGGCAGTGTCGGGTCCAAGCCTGCATCAAAATATAATTTGATGTCACATTCAGCATTCTGTTCAGTGGATTTTGAGGTAACTGGACATTAAAAATAACCTTGTTGATGGAGAGAAGGTGATGTTATATAGGCGAGTAGTGCTTGTGGTTGCTAATGACTGTAGTTAGTGGTAACAAACATACTACATGTCTGGATACTAACAACATTTTTCCCCAACAAGATTTCTAAAATCAAGTCAGTGAAATATAGCTTTCTTTATATATATTTGGTTTAGGTGACATCAAACTTCAAATAAAACAAAGAAACAGTAAAAATTATGTTTTTCTGTGTGTGTGTGACAGGACAAAAAAGCTTATAGTGGATGTGGTTCGGATTCAACCTGGAGACACCTTGCCTGAAATTCTTGAGACCCCGGCTAATGCCCCACAGGTGATATATCTTCTATTTTGTTTTTCCTTACCCATATACTAACAGCAATCTTTATCTGTGAAAGGACTGCACTGAATTAGAGTTCTAACACTTTATGCACTTCTTGTATGACTTTGCTCCTGAAGGAGTTGGAGCATACTAAGATTGTAGAGCGCCGGGCAGTCCAGGATGCTCAGACACCAGAAGGTCTGAAGAGCAGCCCAGCAGTACTGGAGGACAGCCAGCTGCCTCTTGAGCAGAAGAAGAGGAAGATCATGAGGAACCTCCGTAACTTGGAGCAGGCTGGCCTTGTCACTACTAGTAACAAATACCAGGATCTTATCAATGACATCTCAAAGGTACATAAGCCACTCTTCATTCACATTGAAAGATGCATGTCTCCAGTGCCAACGTGTCAGAGTGTAGTCAGGTCAGTTCAGATTCTGAGTTTGTAAAGTAAATCTGTAACTGACAGGACATTCGCTACCAAAGACGCTACAGACAGAGGAGGAAGGCCGAGCTTGTGAAGCTCAAGCAGACACTGACAGCACTCAACTCGAAAACGGCCTTCTACCAGGACCAGATGAACTATTACGATACCTACATCAAGACCTGCCTGGATAACCTCAACCGGAAGTGAGTTACACCTATACTTCTCATTCCTTGTGTGGCAGAAAAGTCTTTCACAACATTTCTTCTCACTGCATGTAAATGATAATCTTGCTTTTGATTATCTGTGTTGTGTTGATGGTTGGGTAAACGGATGATTTTACATATGTATGTGTGTATTGTGTGTCAAGGAATGCACGCAGATCTATAAAACTGGACAGCAAAGGAGACGATAAGGGTAGTAAGAAGTGGAAGCCACAGTCTCTGAAGTACACTGCAGCAAAGCTTCACGAGAAAGGAGTCATCCTGGAGATAGAAGGACTTCAGACAAACCAGTGAGTTGAGCTGTTCACCACTTAGATAGCTATCAGAAGGGGCTAGGTATTTAATGTTACCAATGGTCAGATATTGGGTTTTTACACCACTTACAGTGTCTATTGTTAGGCTGTGACACGCAAAGAACTTTTTTATTAAAACACATTTTTAATAAAAAAATTTTTTTTCATAAAACTGTAGTTTCCATTAGTTTATTTGTATCCTACTTCATGACTTGGTTTTTGATATACGAACAGTATGCTGTTCATACTGTAAATATCTTAACTTAATAGCTGTATATATCTTAGTGTATTCACCTCACTCCGTTCATTCTGTTCATACTGTAAATATCCTGCTAGTATATTCATATATATATATATATATATATATATATAAAATTTTTTTGTTTTTTTTAA